ATAAACATTTTTTTTTTTAAATAAAGGAGGCAGCCACCAATTAGCGCCAGTATCCATTGCCAACCAAGAATCTAAGTCTAGCTGCTATTTTTTTTTTTTAGATTTATTTATGCATACAGAATGAGGGTATAGGCCTGAGGTGTGGGGGGTGAGAAGAGCAGGGAGCAAAGAGGTGGACCGACTGAAATATGCTGTTGAGAGGAGTAACAGGTGGGTCAAGAGAGGTCTGCCAGCCCTGTAGGTCAGCTAGCCCTGTAGGTCAGCTCCAGTCAGGGATCGAACTCATAATGTAGTGGCTACAATAGCTTCTTAGTGCTGCGCTTTTAACCCATTATGCCACCAGGGAGGGCCCTAATCTGGTATTGCAAGAGAACTAAAGATGCCAGATTTTACATCAAAATTTTTCAAGGCAACTCATTCTAGCTTTTGAAACCCACTGTGTATTAAGCAAATCATCAGCATACAGAAGACATCTGAGATTGACCCACCCCAGTTAAGTCTCCAATTACTACACTGCAATTCCTGCTAATCTCACCCTCTGTCATACCGGTCTTTTCTTGGGGCCATAATAGTTGAGCATTCAGATTCTCTAATCAGTTCATCTCACTAAAACTGCTAAATGTATTACATTCCTTTAACTATCTTGAAAGTCTCTTATTTCTTTTCTGTTCTGTCAGCCATCATTCAAGTTCAGGACCTCTTAAACGAAGGTGCCTGAACTATTACAACTGTCCCTTAATTGGTCTCCAGTTTTAATAATCAGTTCTTCATAGAGTTGCCCAAAGCCCTTTCCAACAACATGAATTAGATCTACTCCAATTTTCAAAAATTCTTTAAAGGTCTCTACATACAAACATCTACACTCTTGACAATACATTTAAACTTCTCACAGTTGTGGAACCTCCCTGGTAGCTCAAGGATTTAAGTAATAGCACTATGAAGCTATCCATAAACACTACAGCATGAGTTCACTCCCCAGCAAGGGAGCTACCCACATGGCACAGCTGACATCTGTCTCGCCTGCTGCTCCCCTCAGCAGTGTATTTCAGTAGATCTGCCTGTTCTGCTCCCCACTCTGTCTCTGGTGAATCCTCTCACCACACCTCTGGCTTGTACCCCAGTTCCTATATGCATAAATAAATCTTTAAAAAAGAAAAATAAACTTCCCACAGTTATGTTCTATATTCCCCCAGAAGTACTCAGTATTCTGCAAACACAAATTATGCTGTTATCTCAGTATTTTGCCCACTATTTTCACTGAGCTTATAATACACATTCCTATTTCTTTGACTATAAGTATCTCCCTCATCTCTTAAGTTCTAATTAAAATGTTACCTCATTTGTGAAGCATCTCCTGGTTTCAAACCACAGAACTAATTTTTTATTTCTCCTTTTTTCAAACCCTCTATCACATGCATTTTATTCTACTTGTACAGTTGTCATTTACCTGACTGATACCCCATTTCCAGGAAATGGGGACTAGGTATTACTCATTTTTTACCCCTCAGCTACAGAACAAAGCCAGAATGGAGCTCTATATACACAATTTTACAGCTGCAGTAAATTCTTAACAGAAACCAACTAACTAGAGCTTTACTTTAACTAATTTTTTGGACTACATTCTACTTATATCAGGATTAATATACAGGAAAAATCTAAAATATTTAATAAAAGGGTGGAGTGACTTGAAATTATACAGAAAACAATGAATAAAGGCAGCAAAATATCATAAACTACCAAAGATTCAGTAATATTCAGGTTACTTAAGAAAAAGCAACCTAGCTCAAATAATTTCCCAAGTAATTCACTTTTCCAATCACTTATAAATTATGAGTATTAATAGATCAACATGATTATGTCATATTTTTCTATAACACTATTCCTTTACCTACTAATTTTAATTCTGCCATTATTTTCATGCTATAAAGACAGTGTCCAATGCAACATACTGGTTGACTTCACATTTTAATATAAGACTAGGAATCCAAAACCATAAAGAATCAGGGAAATAACATTTAAAAGTAATAAAGTGTGCTGCCTAGCACTAATGTTGTATACATCTTTAGTGTGTCACTATTGACTCACACTAATACCTGTGAACAAAGTTAAATGTTTTTATATTTCAATTAATTGCAAGACAATTTTAAATACAAGAGTTTAGAGTGTATAAATTACCCATTTAGAATTTCATTTCTCTTCCCATGGGCTCAAGCAGAGAGCTCATGGCAACCATCTTTACCTCATATTTATTACTGTAGGTTACAGAAAAATGCAGTAGAAATTTTGAGGAAATTAAGTACTCTCTGACCACACAGGTTTAAACTCAATGATGATGAGATAGAGTTTACTTGTGTTCTGAATTGCATACTATGGGAATAACAGTAATTTAACCTGTAAGGAAGAATTGTAGGCATTACAGTTCTCAAGCGCTTATCCCAATAGAAGAAAAAAAACATTGTGAAGAGAATTCTGAATTAGCTAAAGAATTACTAACTATGAAACTGTGAGATTTGGAAGACTTAAAAATAGATTAAAACAAAAAACACTACAATCAGTAGTGTTTGTCTTATGTGAAGAGCAAAGACTAGAATGAGGAATATTTCAGCAACTTCTTAAGGGCATAGAACACTTTGAGATAAAATCAATATAGAAGGTTGCATTAGTATTTTTCCCCAATTTTATTGATGTATAATACACTACATAACATAGAAAAAATATATGTGGTACATATGGCAATAATCAGATACAGGTTTAAATTATGGGGGGGAAAAATCACAACCAAATTATTCCATTACCTCACTTGGTTACCATGGATCAACATTTGAGTCCCAAAAGCAAGAGGAATAAACCCAACAGTTTGCTTTAAGACAGTAAATAAAATCACTATTACTCTGGGAAAAAATAATCCTATAGTAATATATTCCTAAATCTGATAGAATTTTATGATTCTATAAAAAGTCCAAATAACTATGTTATAGGAAAGAAAGGGGGTCTCCAGATGTTTTGAGTTGCTTAAAAAGACAAATGTTTTCACAAGTGTAGAGATGGCAAATCCACTAAGGTCACTAATGAAAGAAAGAAAGAACATGTGAAAGAATATAGACATCAATTACAATTAGCAATCTGGAAGCTTGAAATGGTCACTGTATTTGTTAATGTCACTCAGAAATAGCAGTATTTTAACAGGACCAGAAAAAAAACATAAAATCTGTTTTCTGTGATTACAGGAAAATAACAGTATATAAGTATATACTTTATATATAGAGGAATATATAATTTTACTAAGACAGCTACACAATTATTAGGTTGATATGATGGGTATACAAGCAAGTTCTCCACCTGGAACAAATAGCAAAGCCATCAAGGTCTGAGAGTTGAAGAAAAGTTACCACATCATCCAAAGTGGATCTGTTCACAGACATGTAAAAAAAAATCTTGAAGATAAAGGGATAAGAGGCTACTGTAAGTTATGGAAGAGTTACTGTAAGTTATGGAAGAGTTACTGTAAGTTATGGAACAGAAATTTCTGTTGATGTCAATATAAAATGGAAAACAAGAAAAGCAGTGGTATCAAACATTTAAAGTATTTTGCAGAAAAAGGCACTATGGGTCCCTGATAAAGAAAATTATAAAAAAAAATCAAGTCCAATAGAGATCTTAAAGGAGAAAGCTAAATTCATATAAGAATATATGAACCATCTATTGGTGGGAATGCAAACTAGTATAACCACTATGGAAAACTGTTTGGAGGTTCCTCAAACTGCTAAACATGGAACTTCCATATGATCCAGCAATCCCAGTCCTAGGTATCTACCCAAAAGACACACAAACACTGATTCAAAAAGATACTTGTACCCCCCCCATGTTTATTGCTGACTTATTTACAATTGGAAAGACATGGAAACAACCCAAATATCCAAAAGTGGACGACCGGATTAAAAAGATGTGGTATATATACACAATGGAATTTTACTCAGCAACCAAGAAAAAGAAATACATGTCTTTTGAAGCAACATGGATGGAGCTGGAGAAGATCATTAGTGAAATAAGCCAAAAAGTAAAGTGAAACCAGATGGTTTCACTCATAGCAGGAGTGTAACAGACCAGGTGAGAAAATAATAATGACGAACAGCTATAAACTAGAGACATTTTTATGGGGGTGGAGTGGGGAATGAGATCAAAAACAGTGCAGGAAGGAAAATGCACTGGACTATGGTGATGGCACAGGGTGATTTGGTGATGGGATGCCCATGGGGGTTACAACTGAGATGAAAAAATGCACAAAATGATGTAAAAATAACTATTATATTAAAAAAGAGAATATATGAATCAAGCATAATTTCATTTAATGTGGGAAAATAGAATTTGAATAATAAGTTTTATTTTAAAGTCCAATTTTTCTCTTTTTTTGGCATAGAAGAACTGGGATGTAAATGGGATGAGATGGGTGAGAGACAAAGTGCGCAGAACTGGCAGATTTACTGAAATACACTGCTAAGGGGGGCAGCAGACAAGAGAGGAGAGGTCTGCTCTGTGCATAGGTTAGCTATGCATAGGTTAGCTCCCTATTGGGTGCCAGTGATGATAGTACTGAAATGTAACCCCTAGGATACCAGGGAGACCACCCCCCCAATATCTTTTTTAAAGATCTCAAGAGTTGCCCTATCCAATACAGTAGTTATTAAATTTAAAAATTCTAAAGGATATAAACATCTTTAATCACCTTAGCACCACAACTGACTAGTAACTATGAAGTTTCTAACATTCCCATCATCACAGAAAGCTTTCTAGATAGTACTGACTTAGAGAAAGGTTCTAGAAGGCTTTTTAAACTTGAAAATTAATGTTTCATATCTATGAAGACCAGCCTAAAAAAGAACAATAACATCTCATCATGATTCCAAGCTCCTTATATTTTCACAGTAAGTATTTTTTAAAGGACTGTAAAGAAAACTGCCTCTTACATTTGAATATAGATCACACAAAGGCATTTGGCTTACCTTTACAGAAATTTTTGATTTACATTCTACAAGAGAAAGAAAAAATTACTAAACTATCAACCAAAAACATACTAAGGCAGTCACAAAAGAAATTGTTAATTAGCATTTAAGATGTTAAGTAGAAATACAATCTCAAAGCATTAATATGAAATGCTGCCTGAGTGTTTTCACTTTTACAATAGTTCAAGTGTATCTATTTCATTTTTGCTTTATTTTCAAGGTAAAATTATAAGAACAAATTAAAAAGAATATGAATGAGGAAACTACCAGTGTACTAACTTTTATAGCTGCCATCTTACTATAAATTTAATTTTCTCTAACAATACATTCTTTACATGCAATAAAGGTAATTAAATTTCACCTAGATTATGCAAATAATACATGTACTTGCCACATACAAATATAATGAAGACTATTATACATGAAATATGCTAGAACATTTTATGAATAATTTTATGAATTAAATTTTATAAATACTGAAGTGGTAAGCAGTGATGCAATTTGATTGGCTAGAAATAAATTTGAAGAAGTTAGGGAAGACAGCTTTTTTCAAAGTATTAGTTAAATATCATTATTACAAGCAAAAAGTCTTTTGTTAAACTAGCACAACTTTTATGTAGAAATTTAAGCATACACAGCATACCAGATGGAGATAATATTAGCTTGGTTTTTCCATCCAATAATTCAGTTTCAAGCTTTAAGCCATCTCTGCAAAATAAGAAAAAACATTTTAAATACCCAGAAATGTACAAATGTACCTTAAAAGTAAATCTGTCCTTTTAAATTTACACAGTGACCTTAAAAATATTCAACAGTTTGGACCTCCCTGGTGGCGCAGCACTAAGAAGCTGAAATCACTTCCGCATGAGTTCGATTCCTGCCTGCCCCGGAGGTGACCACATGGCGCAGCAAACCTCTCCTGACCCAGCTGCCGCTCCTCTCAGCAGTGTACTTCGTCGATCTGCCTGTTCTGCTCCCTACTCTGTATCTGGTGAAGCCTCTC